ATATATAATTATGTACTTATAATTACAGGTGGTTTAGTTTTATCTATACCAGCAAAATTATTATGTGGTGGTATTGCAGGTGCTATTGCTCAAAGTTTTTCTTATCCACTAGATGTTACTAGGAGACGTATGCAGTTAGCTATGATGAGTGAAGCTACACACAAATATAGGTAAATGTGTTAACTTTACAATATAAATTAAAAATTATTTAACTCTGGCGATGGTTTATTATGTAATATTAAATTATAATTTTCTTCTAGTTCGGGTATGTTACAAACTATGAAAATGATATACAGAGAAAATGGTATCATGGTAGGTCTGTATCGTGGAATGAGTATCAATTATGTACGAGCTATTCCTATGATATCAGTTAGTTTTACAACTTATGAAATTATGAAACAAATACTTCAATTAGATACAGGGATGAAACTATAATTTATTTAATAAGAATATAAGTATTCTTAATGTTCCAGTTTTTATATTTCAATGTATATTTATGTTGAGCACTTTATTAGTTATTGATATATAATGATTTTTTCAGTTTTATTTTCCAACATAGAAATGACTCTATGAATCTAATTTATAATTATTAATAGGAAGATTGCATAATTACAATTTAAAAAATTATAATTCAAATAATTATTTTTTTTACATACAATTAGTATTTTCAAGCACAGCTGGATTTTCACATCTCGGATCAGTAGATAATTGTTATATCTACGAAAGTAAAAGATTGCATTTATTTACTTTACTTAGTAATAAGTTAAATATGTAAAATACATCAGAATGTTAACATATTTAGAAATTGAAAATAGAAATTTAAAGATTGCGATACAGTTATATATTTTTATATAATAGGATGTAGTTAAAATTCTTGTTTACCATAAACTTACTGTATTTTATGTATAATAATAACGCCCAATGTGAATGGTTTAGAAGAATATACATAATAGTAATTGCAACGAAGGAACTGTAATTACAAGTTCATGAATGGTTTATAAATAAATTATTTTTCTTTAATTATTGTGTCCAATTTAGATCTCATAATTACTCCGTTATCAATTAAAAGCGAGAAAAATAAAAATATGTAAGAAAATATAGATATGTTACAATTTTTCATATTTTAAACTGAAATGTGACATTATCTATGGGATATTTGAATATTTTTAATAAATTATATGCTGTAATAAATAATCTTGTGCACCGGTATTTTAATTTGAAATGTTTATTATTTTCATTTAGCTGTGTCTTAATAAATGTTTGTTTTTGTACATAATTTTAAAGTATCATTAGGATTATGTAATTTATAAATACGATTTTAATAATAAAAATTCACCTATTTCTATAGCAACTTACTTTCAAAGTCTTGACATTAGAATACATGTAAATAATTATTTATTTCTTAGTCTTAAGACCAATAATAATTTCTGCTCATTGTATGTCTGACATTACAGTAGTTCAATGTGTAAAAATGATATAAGACTCTCTAAACATGATAACATTTCTTTATTTTTCTAGCTTTGTTTATAATGAGACGACATAATATCAGTTCATGGCATATTGTTTAGCTTGCTTCAATAATGTCTGTGTAAATACAGATCTTGCAAGCTAGTTTAATATTTGTAACTTAATATTTTCAAAATATACGAAGTCTAAACCCGGGAAAGCATGCTGAAAGTTAAAAACCAAGTACACACACATAACTTGCAATTGTTAAAGCATTTGTTATGCTTTGCATATAAAATGTTGTAAAAGATTACATTGGAAAAGATATTACTTCAAATTGATATATACAATGTAGTATGTATATGATAAATAATAATTATATACAAGACTAAACTGATTGTGTTACCCTGAATTTATGTACATAATAAAGAAATTCGAAGCGTTTGAAGTTTTACTTTGAATTTATGCATGTGCATTGGTAATCGATCACTCAGCTTTCAAAAAAAGCACATTTTTCAGCTTACTTTAGTCTATGATCACTTTGCAAAAACCTGCATGTAGGTACATCAAAATATGACACTCAATGTCAAAATTAAAGTGAAATAGAGAAAATATAAGTGTCTATAATTCATACAATCAAAGGAAAGTGTTCGATTTAACGTTACATTACGCAAGGTAAAACTTGATGATGAATAAAAAGTAATCAGCTTGCAAAGTATTGTATTGTATCTTTAATGGCTGATAAATTTATTTATCGTACTGAAATTTGTCCGTTGTATGAAATATTTTAAGAAGACAATAAATAGAGCGAATACAAAATTAACTATACAAGTTCTAAGACCTATTACTGATTCTTCTAAAAGACATATTTCTAATTAACTCATCTGCTTCTGTTATAATACTATGATTTCCTCTTTTCTTTCTATTCTTATTTTTTTATAACCCAAAAAATATATTTAATATATGATATATAAAACAAAAATGAAAAAAATGCTTAGCCTTGCATCATGCAGAAAAGGTTGCTGTATCCACAATATTACCGTATCTGTGCTATTTTCTTTTACATTTACAGTCTTAGTAAATTGCTATAGTGTGCATCTATACATTTTTCATTTTTTTTTTCACTTTATTGCTACTACTTTATCGTTTCATTATGCGTTTGCTCAAATTACATGTTTACTTCTATGAAATTATGTATTCTGCGAATACATCCAATGCTCATGTATACAATGCCTGTGTATTGACGAGTATGAATGATTTGACACAACACATTAAGTTCATTTAACTTGCATTAGACATGTTTATTTACCAGAAGCATCATTTTATACCTATTAATTAGTAAAAAAGTCGTCGGTAGGTTCACAAGCAATTAACTTTCAATTTAATAATCGTGAATGTATGAATTCATTCAGTATAAAGTGTGTGTTTCACTTAGGAAGTCTTAATAGGATTGATGCAAAAGTTTTCTCTTTTTCTTAAATTATAAAACTTAGGATGATTGCACAGTTATATTTAATATAAACATTTAAAAACTGTATATACGACGTGAGTTTGAAAAAAAAAAAAAAAAACGATGAATATAAAATAAATGCTAAGAAATATATATGATGGATGAGCTTGTACTAAATTACTTTTTCCCGTATGATTATAAAATCACAACTCATACAAATTATATTTTGATTAACCTAAGAAAACATCAATAATAAGAATGAAATTATTGACCTTTATGATTCTGATTAATTATTACGTGTAATGCTATGCTACAATCATTAAAGAAATCTACTGAAGAATTTATTGAATCATTTATATGGCACAATTTATATATGCCGAATTTACTGTTGCATCAATCCTCTTTGTATTTCCCTCAAGTGGAACATTTCATGCTCCATTCACACTAATTATTATATGTGACACTCTCTTAAATATAAACTATGATCAGTTTGGTACACTTTCTGAAACCTTAGACAACATTATTTCTATTCAGTACACGATGAATGCAACACGCAAATCATCTTGCTTGTATAAACAGTTTTCAATAAATTAATATTTGTTCAAGGTTTCAAAACAATACCATGTACATTTTTTGTTCGTACTACTTATTATGTTCATTTCTTTCGTTTCTTGATAATAAAAATACAAGCAATACAATGAAAGTTGTAGAACTCAATGCTATACGTGAATTTTAATTGGTACGTGTGTACATTATTATTTGTTTTTTTTTTCTATTTGTATACAATTAATGTTGTGTCTACATGTATGGTGTGTGGGACACACGCAAAATACGCGGTTGTGTGTTCCGTCTTTCAACAAGACATCACAAAGTGAGTCATGATGTAATACTTCAGACTATAATGTAATGTGTAAGGATAGTTGGAACCTCACACTTTTATTGATGTTCTATCATAAATTATGTTCAGTGGCATTGCTATAAAGCCTGAATCATTTCCATACCCCTACCTTAATAGTTAACTCTGGGGTTTGATTCTTTACAAGAAATAGTCTGGTGTCCGCCTAGTAACGTGTGGTTCACCACGTCTTGGAGCTGGGTCAAATTGAAGGCTGAAAAAAAAAAGGCAGAAATTAGATAAAACTTTCTTTTCCTTCCTTTAAAATTTTTTTTTTCCATTTATTATCCTATCTTGCACGAAGTCATTATACTTACAATGAATATTTTAATGCATCATCTAATTCCATGATTGCAGCTTGATTTCCACAGCGATAGCAATAATTAGGTGCTGAGAATATAGTTACAACATTACGATCATGACACCTATAATAATAAATAAATCTATAGAGTAAACAATTCTGTAATAACGTTTGTATAATATTTATCATAACATATTTTATAATATAAATACAGTGCAAACTAAATCAAAATTAAACATTTCTAATAAATATACCAATTGTAGCCCTCCATAACTAATTGATGTGCTCGTGACACTAATGTCAGGCCATTAGAATGATTAAAAGTTTCTGAAATATCTTGTCCAAAAGTATACCCTGCCCCACGAGGAGAAATACCCCATCCTCCTCTATCATCTGGATCTGACCACAAAAGATCACACATTGGACCCTAAAATAATATGCATAACATTTTATGGATTTTCCATTCTTTTTTTTCAACTACAGGAAAAACAAGACAAACACTAACCTCATGTGGCACTTCTTGAAGGCGATCTAGGGCACGTATATGATCTAAAGTGTCGATAGAAGGTGATAAACCACCATGTAAACAAAATATTTGACCATCCACCAAAGCAGTTAATGGTAAATAATCAAATAGATCCGTGAAGAACTTCCACACATTAGCATTGGCATATTTACGTAAACATTCATCATAAAATCCATATACCTGTGTGATTTGTCTCGATTCATGATTACCTCGTAAAATAGTTATTCTTTCTCGGTATCTGACCTGTGACAACAAAATTTTATTTACTAATACAAAAATGTAACAAACTAAAAAATATAAAAAAAAAAGAATAATTATACAATAATAGTTTTACAAATGCAATTGCATATTTTTATATCCAATTTTTTATATACGATGTTTATCCATAAGTCTTACCTTGAGTGCAACAAGCAAAGTAACAGTTTCAACTGAATAATAGCCTCGATCTACATAGTCACCCATAAAAAGATAATTTGTATCTGGAGACTTGCCTCCTATTTGAAACAATTCCATTAAATCATGGAACTGTCCATGTACATCTCCGCATACTGTTACTGGACATTTTACTTCTTGTACATTAGATTCTTTAGCTAAAATTTCTTTTGCCTGAAAAATATATTAATTTTCACAGTATTTGTGATTATAGATAAAAGGCAAC